CCAACAGAGAATGATATGGATCCTCCTCCCAAGCTGCTTGTCTGACAGCTCCACTCCTGAAAGCAAACCTACTTTAATTTACAGCGGTGTGTGCAGGGTTGTCCTGCCCTGTGGGGTCTTTGTGGGTTTCCTGGCTGTACTTTGGATGCGGTTTATGTCTTCCCTCTGCTGCATGAAACATAAGCAGTGGCTGTCATCCATCTCATTTTATGGCACTTTCTCGATATAAGGCATGTGAACAGATGAGTAGCCTAAATGTAAAATTTCGGCCTGTTTTTTTAGCTGGAAAAGGAGCAAAACAAATTTTGATCATTTTTTGAGTGAGATGTGGGAATTGGTCTGAGGTTGTGATTGGCATGTGGAGATAAATAAAAAGTGACCTATGACTCATACGAGACAGCATTACTGGAATGTGCTGGCACTGGCTCAGAAATTCAGAAGGTGTCTGACACAGCACAAGACAGATTTGCTTCTTATAGTTGTCTTCGTAGCAGTAGCACGGCCGTCTGTGAGGTCCTGTCATATCTGATAGTTTCAGGCCCCGCAGCAGGTTTTCTTCCTTCGCCTTACTCCAGGTATTTGAGCCCATTCCTAATGATTATAGAAATTCCACTGCTACTTTTCTGATTACTATAATTATAAGACCACTACATTCCTGTAGTTATTCCAGCTGATGAAGCCTGTGTATTGCAGTTAAGGAGCTACTGTCCATATTGCATCATTGTGAGGCATCAAATAAACACAGTCACTCTGCTGAATCATTACACAGTCATTTACTTGTCAGTAAAAACCTAAGGTGAATGTGGAGGTGTCTTGTTTTGGTCCCTTGTTTTCTGGTATGAAGAATAATTTGTTTTTGGCTCGCTCTCTTGACATTAATAACATATTAAATTCATCTGTAGAAAGCCATTTGGCTGCTGAAGTTTCTTTGTATCATCATTGTAGGTGTATCATGGCTGAAATCCAAGAAAATTTGGAAGGTACCCAGAACGGTTGGCATTGCACAATCTGTGTGTTATCCACCATATTGGCTGTGGTTCTTCCACCCCTGGGTTTGCCTTGGCCCAATAATGAATCCTTGGCAAATGCAGTGAGCTACTAGCTTTAAGGCTTCATGTGGTTTCAGGTGAACATGACTTTGAGAATCGGGGTTCACAAACATTTCCTGTGAATAAATGAGTTCTTTGGCTCTGTTCCAAAACAGGGAAGTGCACAAGCCATACTTTTGGGTGCATGTCTGTGTCAAATGGTATGGAACTAATCTCCACTGAGCTATTTCTCATTAGAGAAAGGCCTTTGGGAGGTGCACTGGTGTGTGGACTGTGGACAGGGACAGGGAAAGAATTGTCTCTTACTGCAGATGGATATTATTTTGTGTTGGGCAGGGAAAACATTCTGACAGTTTTTTTTTTCTGGAAGAATTTCTTTTCTATTCTGTCGCAGTTTGACACACAAACCATGCTCCTGGGATTTATTCTCTAACCCAGTGGCGGCCCGAGTGCTGATGCATCACTGTCACAGTGCTGTGCTGTGATCTGGCAGAATCATCACCAGTTGTTCAGCGGCACTGGGTATAACTTATCTGTTGACTGATTCACATTAAGTGTCCACGAGGAAGCGCATGTACAGTAAGACCGAGATGAAGAAGAACATTGTGACTCAAGGCTTGGGTTGAAATCATGTTTGCTTTGTATGGGGAAGGTGTGATGAGTACCGCCATCTGTCTTTCCACTCCAGTGATCAGAGAGCTCGTCTGTTTAGAGATCCCTAATATAAACACAGAGTCATCTTCCTGAACTACAGAGCAATGGATATGGCCCCACACTGACCTGCAGTGGAGGCGGCAACAGTTAAAAGGATTTGGTTCTTTGGTACCGGAGTCCTTGTGTTGGCCATGGCTTCACTTTATGCCAGCTGTATATTAAATGTCCAAATATGTATCAAAAATATGTCAAATAGATTTTATTTTAGAGACATTCAAAATAACAGATGAGTCCTGGCAGCATAAATTATGTGCTGCTGGTTTGTTTTTCCACAGTTTACAACCTTATAACTGAATGTAATCATATTATTTATACAGTGCAACACTACAGAGTGGTTTACCACAATTATTATGATGATAGAAATTTTTAAAAAGAACTTTTAAAAAGAAGTAATTAAAAGAAAAGATACAACTACAAATGTGTGTCCATTTTAGAAGAGATTTAAAAGATGACACTGATATGCTCAGACTGGGAGGTTTATTCCATGTTGTTGTTGCCAATGACTTGCTGAGCCATGTACGGCACCAAAGTTGTGCTCTACTCATAACAAATACCATCGGAGTCATTAATAAGAAACAAGATACCTTCTACGATAAGGAACGCTGCTGGAACTGGATTGTGACTTGTTTGATTTCAGTATACACCCTCATAAAATGAGAGCCTTTTAACCACATATGGCCCAGAGCCTCAAGCTGTCTGCATTACAGATGCATCTCAGTTGTCTTGTCTGTCTGTAGTAGAGTGGATTACACCAATAACATGAAGTGTGTAGAGTTACTGTGAACAACCTTACATGTCTTTGAATATGCCTGCGGGTTTTGCACCAGGACTGTAAATTTAAACTAAAGTTTGACTGATATTTAAAATTATTAAGACAAATTGATTGATTGTTGTTTACTGAGCTTTTTTAATAACTAACTTGTTGACTCCAAAAATTCCTTCATCCTTCTCACAGAAAGGGATAGATTTTATGATGATGCATGGCAGTTGTCTCAGTGGGCTTGTGCATTCTAGCTGCCACGGCGTGCCAAGGTTTATGTGTTGTGAAAATGTGGCGTGTCACTCGAAAGGCACCCAAAGACATCAGACCACATATTCTCATTCTGTCTGCTCTGGTGTTTGGAGAAGAAGCCTGTGTGTGCCCACAGAACTGGCAACACAGCTTGTTTCTCTTTCTCTTTGTCTGTCTCTTCATCAGCTGAAGAGGCAAACAACAATAATGAATAGGAGAATGTTGCTCTGAACCCCAAGTGTATGCACTCATCAGTGTGTTTCACACAGTGTTGAAGAGCAATAGCGGCATCTGTCTGTAAAGACAAAGAGATCATGGGCACAGCTGATTTGTGTGTGATGTGTGTTAATGTGGATGAAGGGTGTAAGATGGAATCATCACTTTGCAAAACTGCAATAGAAAAATTTCCTGATATCATTGTGGGACTGTGATATTACATATGGCTATTTCACTTGTTTAACTGTATTCAGGTCACAGATTTTTAAACTTGCATAGCAGATGCTCCATTGTCAACTTTTAGAGCTGTTGTGTGGCAGCATTCAGTCTTCCTATTTCAGGAAATGATATGGACGCAAAAGAACCTGACAAACATTTTGCAAATACTGCCAGAGGACGTTAATACTAGTCCACTTTAGGACTAAGACACTTATGTATACATCTCACAGAAACATTTAGGACATGACATGGGCAAACAAACTGGACACACAAATGCAAAACCAAAAAGTGACGTCTTTTCTCTTAAAAAGTAGACCACGATGTTTGAAAAACCCAGAGTATAGCACAAATCTGACCTTTATGTGGCTTTTCCAAGTGTCTTTCGGTATCTTCTTCTCCTCGTTCTGGTGCACCAAGCAGCAATTTGCTCACTGCAGCCCCTGGTGGTTGGGGGATCCCTGCTTCAGCTGCTCCGGTACTGAGAACACGACACGGCCAACAAACCTATGCACCAAGCAGAGAAAGTTAAACCTGCCGAGTGGGTACTAAGACGCTGGTGTTCCACTGTGAGCATGACTCATTTTGTTTACAAGATCCAGCTGCTGCAATAATCAATCTTTCAGTTTTATTTCATAAAAGGACTGCTGCATTGTTTGTTTTGCAGTTGTACAGTCCAGTCATTCAGTGCCAATGACAGTTCATGCCAGTGTTTTTGCACACGCTTAGGCCATAGCTGGCTACTTTTATTTCAATAAAGATAGAACACAGGAGCACTTTAAATTGAATGGAAAATCATACAAAAATTATTTAGCAGAAGACGTTTTCATCCTTATTCATTTGTTCAGCTCAAACACACTCATGCAGCATCGGTGATTAATCATCTTCCTGCTCCATCCAGTTGAGACTGCGACAACTGCAGTGGAGCAACAGAAAGACTCTGCAAAGTGCTAGTCACATCTTTATGTGGTGTGTGTGTGTGTGAGGGACAGAGAGCGATTAAGAAAAACCAACTGCATCACTGTGTTTATACATGCCAATCCTCTGTCAGGTCCTTGTCGACCCCGACATATCGTCATGTCTTCACGTACAAAGGTATTTGTCAAATACAGACATTTTACATCAACATAAAAACCAGTGGGTGAATAGAAAGATAATGCAGAGAGAGATACTGAAATTGTAGTGCACTGCATTGGACTGGAGTCTAATGTGTGTTGCTGTGTCTGCGGCAGTGATTTGCAGGTTTTGCTGAGTCAGAGAGAGTTCACACAGTGAGCTAGTAGGACAGTGCACGACACTGCCTCTCCGTGGCAGAGTCTGCAGACAGCACGCCAGGTTGGGTTGTCAAAGTAAATGCAGGAAATGTTTAATGATTAATGGGTGTATTGTGTATTAGCCATTGTGGTGGCTATTGCCTTGAGTTTCTGCCATGACTTTGTATTATGGTAAGCTACAGATATGGCTTTGTCAGCAGGGAATATCCTCTGCTAACTCTCCACAGATGTGCTCTGAGTTGCTCCTACTGTTCTTCTTGCTTTCACTGTTCCACTTGTAGGGTATTTTTCATACTTATCTACTTGGGATAATTGCTACCAGCAGCACGAGGAAACAGTTTTGAAGATGGAATTTGTAGTTCATGCAGTAATGCAAGTGATAGACTAAAACACCAATTATTTTTCAAGATACATAGGTTGCAGTCATCCTGAAGTGTCATCTTCATTTGTTTTATCCACTTTGTAAATAACAAGAACATGCACAAACATTCCATTCTCTCCTCTTCTCTCCCCATACAGAAAAACTCTACAACTCGACTGGACGGGAGCTACGAAGAGCCCTCTTTTCCCTCAAGCAGATTTTTCAGGTAACAACAACTTTAGAGCCAGTGAATTTTACTGTGTTTGTCATGATCTCATCTTTCAAGAAAGCACCGGTCCTCAAGAGCTATTGCCTTGCATGCTTTCTGCAGAGCAGGGCTTTGAGCGTTCACATGCATACATGTACACACATTAACATACAAGAGCTCTGTGTAGCATGCGCACATGCACACTTGGACCCAGTGTTGTTTTCCTGAGGCAGAACTGTGCTGCGGAGAGTCTGCCTTCGTGGCAGCTGTAGGGCGTTCAGGTCTGGCCATACTTCACACACTGGGCTGGGATGGGCTGGCCCGGTGGCCTGTCGGCTGCAGGGGGGGAGGGTTGACTGACAGCTCGGCGGAGAAGAGAGCAACAGACGTTGATACAGACCCAGAATAGATCTCACTTTTTACATGTGGATTTATAAGGCTTCAGTTGTATGTGTATGAAACAGGCATCTTTACTTTGAGGGGGCGTCACCTCTTTTCACTTGTTTATTGATCAATCTTGAAGTGAAGTGAATAGTCTCAGAACTGCTGTTAATTTTTTAGTGCACTCCTGTAGGTTTAGACTGTTCGCCAGATGACTGGAGTCTCTATCACAGATCTATGGTAGAGCTGTTCTGGAAGCACTTACACTTCCTCCTGGGAGAGAAGGAGCCCTCTGACCACCCCACAGTGTTTATTGCTGTCTTTCTCTGTTTCCCATCTGAGCAGTAGAGTGTATCAGAAAATAAATTCTGCAGAAAAGCCTCCTGCTTGGCCTTAAATTACAGAGTCATCGACAGGTGTGAGAGATGCAGGTGGTTTTGTCATCAAGGACAAAATGTGGGTTGAAGCGGGGAGGGAATCCATCTGCAAACAGATTGCTCTACATCGTACTTACAGTGGGTATAACTGAATGGAAAACATTGATGACAGGTAACATTTATCCAGCTCAGACGTGTGTAGAGGGTGAAATGAGAGGAGCACTCATGTCCTCTGGCAAATGTTAGATCACAAAGAAATCTGAGTACCTGTTTTCTCCATAATGAGCGTTTTTTTACTCATTAATAATATTGTGGCACACAGCAGGTGCTCTTCGGCAGTGTTCAAGTTGAAGCAGTAGAAATGTTTGTCTTTTTGCATCACATCTGCTGCTTTATGCATAATAAGTAATGGGTCTACTGTGTGCGTAAGACATATATACAGTATAAATTGTGAACATTAACATCAGCATAAATCATTTCAACAGTTCCTGGAGCTTTTTGGGATTGATTTACTTCTTTATAATATAAAACCTTTTTAAGTAACTGGAAGGAGTTGTTTGAGCTATTAAACTACAGGTTTCAGATGGTTGTTTCTCTGCATGCTCGCCCAGTCTTAGGCTGTGATTTGCAGCCAACATTCATGCAACCAGAGGTTTATGTAACTCTACAGACAGTTATGTAATGGAAGGCCACAATAAATCTATCAAATATATAAATATTATGTTTTTTTTTTTTTTTTTTTACAAAATAACTATTAAAGCATTATAATCTGTGGCTCTTTCTAGGATATATGATGGCTGTTGAATATTATCCTCATTCTCCTTGACCTCTTCACAGGATGACAAAGACCTGGTGCATGAATTTGTGGTGGCAGAAGGACTGACGTGTTTGATAAAAGTGGGAGCTGAAGCCGACCAGAACTACCAGAATTACATCCTCAGGGGTACGTCCACTGCAGAGCAGCATGACTTGGCACCAGTAACCTCCCAGCATATTTTCTTCTTCTCTACTTTCTCACGCTTCAATTTACAGCACTGGCTAATCGAGGATGTTGTTAATCAGTCCTGTAATGTTTCTTTCCACATACCTATCTCCAGAGCCTCACATGTTTACATACACCATGAAAATTGATGATTCTGCTTGATGACCTCCTCACCCTCACACACCTAAGGGTTATAAACAAACTCAAATGTCTGCCACAGATAGTGTGGAAGATAGGCCAAGTCTTTAGCAGCTGGATAATTTATCTGTCCCATGTCAGTAAGGTGAAAGATCATACGTGTTATGGTTGGGAAGGGGCAGGGGCAGCATGTATGGGGACACTAGAGGGCCAAAGCACTCTCTCTAAGGTCACTGCCATTTACCAGGCTGCTGTGAGGGGGGCAAGCCACACATGCTTCAGTGGCTAATAAAGTTTCTGGTAGGATTTTGCATATCATTAAACTAATTTACCCTCCTCTCTTTTTTTCTTACTCCTTTTCTTTGACATTTTGCACATATGTCAATTAACCTGCAACAATATGTCAGGACTGTATTATCGTTATGTTTTTGCTGGTGTTTGTTTGATTGTTAACAGCATAACTCAAAAAGTCATTAACAGATTTTGATGGCATTTTTTGAAGAGGTAAGCTATGGTGTCATAATTTGGATACAGGAATATTTTAAAAGATTATTAACCATTGTGATTACTGGAAAGGCTGCTGACTGTATGTGAGTCCCCTTGTGGTCAAAATGCACAGCTATGCTACTGAGTGTTTTGAGCACATCAACAGCTGGGGAAGGATGGTAGGTAGGTAGGACTTTATTGATCCCACAGTGGGGAAATTCCTGTGAAAGGTCTACTTTATGCAGCATCACATGGGCGAGAAGCTGATGCCAGAGATTTTGAATGAGGGTCAAAGCTGTTATCATCTTCATTCACTGGTATTATGCTATTTTATTAGGCTTTGACATTTTCAGGCCACAAAGGTAACCACTGAGATTGAGAATTTGTGATCAGACTATCCAAGTAATGCCAATTTAGAAAATTGTTCTGACGTTTGTGAGTGCTCATTATCTGACCAAGCTGGCTCTATTAGCAGGCAGCTACATCTCATTCAGAACACAGTGATCTGTGGACAAGGATGCCTGTGTTTCAGCTGCGCATTATAGCTGCGTTTTCAGTGTCAGAACCTAGCGAGTGGTCCACCCCGTCCTTTCCTTTACCATCACCCAGCATAACCTCATGGATTGACGCAAACCGTCCTACTTTGCGTTTCCAATGTATTTTGCGCTGTCAGTCTCAGTTTAGAGGAGGGAGGGACTGCGCTCCTCTCTGACACACACAGCTAAGCCCTCTGCTCAACTGTGTGTGTGTAAGAAGGATCACTCCATACTGCAACAATCAGCCGGTAAGAGACTGTATGAGCAGTTTATCAAACAGCTGTTAAACAAGCAGAACACAAACTTGCAGAAATGTTTCTTCTTTTGTCTCTCCTCTATCCACTCAGCCCAAACGGTCAAGGCAGAAGGCTGCCCACCAAGAGCCGGGGTCTGTCTGAGGTCTCTTCTGTTAAAGGGAGTTTTTCCTCCCAATTGTCACCAAGTGCTTGCTCAGGGGAGATTTGTTTTCCTTAATAGTGTATGGTCTAGACCTAATTATGTAAAGTGCCCTAAGGCAATTGTTGTTGTGAATTGGTGCTATAAAAATAAGTTGAATTGAAGTGACATCTTCACCACTTTGGCCGCAGTCCACTCAGTTTTACCCCTAAACCAATGACAGAATGTCTGTCATGTCTGTTTTTCTTGAATAACTTTACTAAAGCTAATAATGATATCACTTCATTCCAAATGCCAGCAGTAGGTTTTCATGGTCATGCAATCATATGAAGAGGGTCACGCTATCGCTGGAATATTGCTTTCATGGCAGTATGGGGAAACTGAGCTGCCCCTTGGTGGAGGTTTGCACTCGCTGAGCGCTGGCTAGTTAATTCATAGTTTTTTTTTTTATGTACAGTACATCTTATGTATGTCCACAGACAAAACCACATGAGCTTGGAAGTTTTATCCATAAACTAAACTTCCATATTTCTGACACCTCTTGTTACCTCATTAAGTACTGCTACAATGAGAGTCAGTGTAGTGGACCTTCATGATTTGGGTGCACATTTCACCCAGACGTTAGCCCCCTCATGTTGATTCAAATAGATATGGCATGTGCCTAAAAACCTGCTCTCTAATTTTCCAGCCAGCTCATTGTTGACTTTTCTGTTACTGAAAAAATAAAAGAGTTAAAGGCAGATGTCTGCCCCCTTGGCAGGTTATAAACATGACTGACTCTGTACACTCTGATCTTTAATGTTCGTTCATTTGAACTTGGCCTGGTCTTTGATTCAGGCAGATAAATCCCGTAGGTTAACTGGCCAAAAGAATACAGAGGAGGAGAACGATGGGCTTTTGCGAATTTTGGACTTGACCACATGTAAGAATTGTTAGTGTCATCGTGCTGTGATAGATGAGACCACTTCTCATATCTTCTCATTCCTCATTGTGCTGTTACCTCATAGAGAATTCTGCTCAAACATCTGTCAGCATGATCTGCAGGCTGTACAGTTTCCCCCATGTATCTCTAAATTATCAAATTAAACCAGACTACCAATTTTCCAAAAGTCCTTTTAACCCATTTCAACCCCTGACCTAATGTCTCCTGACCAGCTGAGGAAACGTGAGGTGTAGTTGATCACACTCCCTCACAAGCCATGTGTTGGAGCATGTCCTGGAACACTGGTGCACAGGTCAGACATGTATGGAGATCTGGCTGTTTTACAGTTGATGCCATCCAAAAGAGGATAGGTCATAGGATTCCCCGGGAGGGTAGTAAATTAGTTGCCTGAACTTTTCATATGTGCACACAGAGACAGTGTAAGAGACCCAACAATAATTGCTTTGGTATCACACACTGATCACTTCCATTCTCTCTGTGTGTGTGTGTGTGTGTGTGTGTGTGTGTTTCTTTTTTTTTTTTTTGCCGTGATGTATTTCATGTCAAGGCCAGAAAATAAAGGAATGCAGCCTTGAACCCCTCTGCCTGGTGCGCATTAAAAACCTCCCGTCAAAACAATCTTGCTCTCTTTCATGAATAAAAATCAATCTTACGGGTCTTTTGTAGTTAAAAAAGGCACAGTCACACGTGCGCACCAGTCTGCATGCATTTTACAGGAACAGGTTCCCAGCCATAGCTCCCTGGAACATTGCCTTCATTGTAAATGGCAGTTCCTGCCTCTTTCTCAGCAGTCTACACCATCTCACTTTTTTCTTTTTCCTCATTTTTTATTCCGTCTTCTCAAAGCCCCGGAGGTGTCTGTGGCCAATTAGTGCTCCCTCAGTGGTGTGGGTATGTTCTAGGTCTTCCTGGCTGGGCTCTGGCTGGCCCCTCTCTCGGCCCCTCACACCTGGCTCAGAGGGCTTCCAGACATGAACGTAGCTCCTCGGAGGCCAACTTTTTTTGGTTCAGGAGAAAGCTTGTATCGCCCCCATCCACAGGAAAGGGTGTGAGGTCACGTTTGCAGAGTGCCATCTGGTACTCCTGTAAACCTCACCCTCAGCCCTAGTGAGGTGCTGCAAACATACAGGAGTTAAAAAGGTAGTAAAGGTCTCAGTGATATCTTCCTTTTTCTTAAAATAAGCATTTATATGCTGTTAGTTTCAGAAATATAGATTCACTGTGTTCAGCCTTATGTCATTCTGAGTTTGGAGACTTATTTTGAGACCTTATTTGTGCAATTACCTAGTGAGTAGTAGTACTGCAGTGCCTTTTAACTGAGCCATAAATTCCGCATAAGTACATTTATAGTATAGCGTAGATGCACACAGGCCAGACAATTAGCAAATAGACGTCCTAATGCCTCAGGTGCACACTAGCTATTAGAGATGTAACAGTATTTGTAATTTCACAATAAAAAAATTTCTTGATACAATCATGAGACTGTGACAATATCTACTAGAATATCACATATGGTTCGTTTACATAACTGCAATCAGGTTGCAGAATTTTGGAACTGTCATAGCAGATACTCCATCGACTTTTCGAGCTACTGTGTGGCAGCATTTCAGTCTTCTCATTGGAAAGGAAACTAACAAATCCTGAACAGTTTGCAGATACTGCCAGATGAAGTCAATACTAGCCCCATTTCGAACTGAGACACTCAGGGATACTTCTCACAGAAACAGTCCAGACATGACATTTTAATGGCAATGAGCAAACAAACTGTGCGCACAAATGCAAAACCAATCAAAAAGTAGACCACGATGTTTGAAAAGCACAGCTCACCTTTTGGTGGCTTTTCCGAGTGTATTTTGGCATCTTCTTCTCCTTTCTCTGGTGCGCCAAGCAGCAATTTGTTCACTACTAGCTGGGGTCACTTCAACTGGTGCGGTAGTGAGAACCTGACCACCAAACAGAGAATGTTAAACCTGGTGTTCCACTGGTGAGTGTGACTTGTTTTGTTTACAAGATCCAGCTGCTGCCATAATATAACATTTCCTTTTATTTCATAAAAGGACTTCTATTGACTGCTGCATTTATTATTTTTGTTTTGTTTTGCAATTGTGCAAACAGTTCAGTCATTCGTTGCCAGTGACAATTCGTGCCAAGTTTTTGCCCACACTTAGGTCATGGCTGGCTACTTTAATTTTAATAAAAAAGGAAAGCAGGAGCATTTTAAGTTAAAAGGAAAATCATACAAAAACAGCTGGTTTATTATTTATTATTTATAAGGACTTTTTTTTCTTTTTTCTTCATTTTTTAATATTGTGACAAATATCATATTGTTGACTTTTTATCATGGCAATATCATACCGTGAGTTTTTGTTATCATTACATCCCCACAGAATATCAAGTTTTTGTTATTTTGTCCACCCTTTTTTTGCAAGATTGTCTTTTCTTGAACTCAAAATAAAGGTTCT